ATCATCTTCACTATGATTATTCTGAATTCTTTTTCTGAAAGGTTGCCTATCTCTGTTTCATTTAGTTGTTTTTCTGGAGTTTTATGTTATTCCTTCATGTGGTACAAAGTCCTCTGCCTTTTCATTTTGTCTGTCTTTCTGTGAATGTGGTTTTCCTTCCACAGGCTGCAGAATTGTAATTCTTCTTGCTTCTGCTGTCTGCCCTCTCGATTTGGGGGGTTTCTGATGTGAAATATAAGAAAAGAAATAAACCTTCTTTCTGATGAACATATACCTGAATACTGTGCTCATTATCATCCATAGTCACTATTTTACATTACATTTGGGGTGGATTGTATCATATCTCCTTGTTGATTATTAACAGTAGTTATTATATTAATGGCAGAGGACCATTACCCCCACACCTTGGTAAAGACTGCTAGTGATAATAATGTATTATAAGGAATCCTGTAAATTTGGTGTGAAGTAGTGGAAAGAATTCTCTCTTACAATTTGGATACTTATGTTCTTTTTAAAAATATCACTCTTATGAATGACTACATACTTTTCTGAACCCCTTTTAGTTTAGTTGTGGTTTTTTTGGGCTGTGTTGGGTCTTTGTTGCTGCACGCAGGCTTTCTCTGCTTGTGGCAAGCAGGGCCTATTCTTTGTTGCGATGCATGGGCTTCTCATTGCGGTGGCTTCTCGTTACAGAGCACAGGCTCTGCGCGCGTGGGCTTCAGTAGTTGTGGCATGCAGGGTCAGTAGTTGTGGCTCGCAGGCTCTAGAACGCAGGCTCAGTAGTTGTGGCTCACTGGCTTAGTTGCTCTGTGGCATATGGGATCTTCCCAAACCAGGGCTCGAACCTGTGTCCCCTGCATTGGCAGGTGGATTCTTAACCACTGTGCCATCAGGGGAGCCCCCCCTTTAGTTTTGAAATGTGATGATTCTGTATGCTTTTATGTACTTTACTTATCTTAAGGTATAATTCCATGTAAAGGGATATAACAATGTAGATAAGAAAATCTGGTTTTTGTGAAATGAATTTTTTTCTGAAGCATGTTTGATAAATGGTTACGATTACATAAGCTTGTTGTAAAGAGATGGGAATACATTTCTTTCCTACTTGATCGCTCTGTGTACATGGGACTATATCTGTGTATAGTACTAATGCAGGTCCTTAGTATTAAAGATGAATTTTCATTATATAGTTTCTTTCCAATAAAGAGTGTACATATTTAACACAGTAAGTTATTTTGGCCTGCCAGAAAATTCTTTTTTATTATTGAAGTGTAGTTGATTTACAATATTGTGTTAGTTTCAGGTGTGCAGCACAGTGATTCATATATATATATATTTAGATATATATATGTCTGCATGTATCTATATATAGATATATACGTATTACTTTTCAGATTGTTTTCCCTTATAGGTATTACAAAATATTGAATATAGTTGCCTGTGCTATACAGTAGGTCCTTGTTGGTTATCTATTTTATATATAGTAGTGTGTATATGTTAATCCCAAATTCCTGATTTATCCCTCTGCCCACCCCCTGTTCCTCTTTGGTAACCGTAGGTTTGTTTTCTATGTCTGTGAGTCTCTTTCTGTTTTGTAAATAAGTTCATTTGTATGAATTTTTTAAAATTTCATATATAAACAATATCATATAATATTTATCTTTCTGTGTCTGGCTTACTTCACTTAGTATGATAATCTTTAGGTCCATCTGTGTTGCTACAAATGGCATTATTTCATTCATCCATCCATCGATGGACATTTTGGTTTGCTTCCATGTCTTGACTGTTGTAAATAGTGCTGCTATGAACATTGGAGTGCATGTTATCTTTTTGAATTATGGTTTTCTGAGGATATATGCACAGGAATGGGATTGCAGGATCATATGGTAGCTCTATTTTTAGCTTTTTAAGGAAAAGTAATTTTATTTTTGACTTGATTGTCACATTTTTTGGTTTTAACTATTTGTTGTTACAATTATGTTACAAACTTATGAGCTGTGGAAGGAATTAATATGGTTGTAATGAAGATTTTTTTAAACGTAGTTTTGGTAACCATCTCATCTTTCTTGGTGTTTCCAAAGGGAAAAAGGTAGTTCCTGCTTTAAGTTTGATGGTTTTAGTCACATTTTTTCTTATTTCTAAGCTAATAAAAATTTCCTTTGGACATTGAAGGTGGGAAAGAAAATCTTTTAAGAGAGAGACATTTCAAAACCCACACTTAATTAAAAGACCCTTTCATGTAAATTTTTGACTTTTTAATTCTTATGTAAAAGCTGTTACTTAGACTTGATTTGGTATTTTTAGACATTCATCAAATTGTCATTTCATTATTTTAAAATCAGTCCTTTTTGGGAAATAGATGACTAATATTGTCATCATTATCAGGAAATAGCTCAGCATCTGTGTGATGTTTTTTGGATGTATTGAAATTCTTTTTACAGGTTTGGTTTTTATAGCATGTCTTAGTTACTGTGTTATGGAGGAAAAGCTTCTCACTCTTCTGGCATAATGGAACTAGCCACATGACTCTAGAGAAGTAGATGTTGAGTGGGAAGACTTGGCTAGCTAGAAGTAAAACATGGACTCTAAGGAATTAATTTGCCTTCCGAAGTTTTGATTTGTGTTGACAGGAGGATAGTAGGCTATAAATGATAAAGCAATGCTGGGAAACCTTATTTTTCTTCATTATTAACCTTGTTATAATAGAAATTATTTAAAAAGCTTTCTCACCCTTAAAATATCTTCATGCTTAGAGATAACAGAAATTGTGTCTAATGATATGCTTTGGGATATTTGCACCTTTGTTTTAGTTTTTAGCCAGATACTGAATTACAAGTAATATAGTGCTCTGAGATTCACCATTTTAGGTTTTCATCATGCAGACAGTGTCTTCTAGAGGAGATGATGCACTAATAACGTGATAGAAAGGCATGTTTTATTGACTACTGATTGATCTGTGCATGGTTCTTGATGCTACAGAGATATATGTGTTACTCTCCATGGCTTTTCCTTCCTATTACATTTACAAAGAAGAAAATTTCTTAGGTAATTTTGTGTTATTCCTGGAGGACAGTAGTGGCTAAAATCTTACCAGGCTGTTACAGGTGGAAATTGAGTTCTATCCTAGCTCATTTTGATGAAATAAGCACTCTATTATTTTTATCTTTAAATGTAGTTTTCAGTTCATTTCACCTATGTGCTTACTATCTTAGATGCCCTGCTTTTTTGAAGTGGTAGCTTACTCCTACCTCAGGTGTGATTGCAGAGTTAGATTTCCCATTCCGTTCTATCTGTTAAAGATTAGAGAGAAACATTCAGAAGTTTCCTTCTTTTCAGGTCAAAGGTGGAGGTGGAGACTGTATGGTTTTTGTTTATTCATTTTAGGAACACTTAGCATTTCATTCTTTTACTGAATAAGAACGTTATACTTATTTATCCTTATTAGAAGTTTGCTGAAGGTTGGCAGCACTTTTCTAGTGTATTGTCAATGAAAAGGGCATAGGACACAAAAATGAATTCTCAGTATTGCTAATGTTCTGAATTACAGTGTAGTAAATAAATACGTTTGACTTTTTTTCCCCATTTCCCTATACATAATAACTGGCAGTGAGAGAGTTTTTAATGTTTTGTCAAAAATTTGTAAAGGGCACAGAATAATTGTAATTCTTTCCATTGATTATTGGGATCACTTTGCATGGTTTCAGCTTGCACAGTCATTTTTATGTGCAAAGGGAGGACTGCCTGTATTTTAGACATTACTCAGTTCTAATATAGTAAATGTTGATAGATATAACTCATATAAACAAATCTCTTTATATTTGCCTTTATACTTGTCTCCTATATTTTTTGTCCTGATTGAATAAGCATTGCCAATAAGCCTAAAACCTAAGGAACAATTTATACTCCTTTATCTCCCTCATAGTTTACATTTCTAATGATTTAACAACTCTCATCATTATCCCCTTCTCTTCATACCCTATTGATTGTCTTTACTTAGGCACTCACATATCACCCTTCATAGGCTATGACTGTAAAGGGATGGTATGGTTATAAAGGGATAGCATGAGGGAAATGCTAGGGGCAACAGAACTGTTCAGGATCCGAATTTTGGTGGTGGTTACAGGAAGGGTATACATGTTAAAAATCATAAACTTTCTTTTTGTCTTGCTGTGACATTGGCCTTTAAATGTTTCTTTGCCACGCTTTCAAAATAGATCTTACAAATAAATCAACAAGTACTCACAGAGTACATCGTTCAAGGCATTGTCCTGTGTGCTGAGGAAGATATAAACACACAGAAGCTATGTTTCTGCCCTGAAGGAACTTATATTCTAATAAAATAGAGTTAGACCACACAAGTAACAGCAGTAAGATAAATTGTAATCATCTCTTAAAGGAAATACCAACAAAATGCTAGTTTGTGCTAGGAATCTGTAGGAGGATAATTCTTCATTGAAGAGATGGCATTTAAGCTGAGTCTTGGAAAATGCACTGGTACTTGGCAGTCAAAAATAGAGGCAAAGGACGTTCTGAAGAGAAGGAAAAATATAGTGCACTTTACAGAGTTGTAAGTTTTCCTATTATAGCTAATAAAAACTTGGGATCTACACCTCATGAATACTCACAACCTGTTTTATTCCATTTTGTGCTCGAAACTCTTAGAAACATTTTGGTCTGACACTGCAGTCTCTTACAAGTAGTAGTATGGCTTTCAACTTAATTTCGTTCATCTTTTTTATTCTGATTTTACTGGTTCTGTGGACAGTGAACTATTTCTAACTCTTAATGTAGTCAACAAATAGTAAATATATAAGTGAAAAGTCTGATATTTCTGTAAAATTTTCTATTGACAGAGTGAATTTGAGTAAATGGAGTTTTCAGAATATATAATCTTATAAAGTATTTCTGTAATACTTCTCTAAATTGCTTTCCTCTAGTTTCTATTTAGGTGAATGAATCAAGTCTACTTAAAAGCAATTGTAATCTCTTTTTTTCCATAGGTTTTCTGTGAAGACCCTGATTGATCGGTCCTGCTTTGAGACAATTGATGATTCTTCTCCTGAATTTAACAATTTTGCCGCCATTTTGGAACAGATTCTAAGTCACCGGCTGAAAGGTAATAGCGCTAATGTATTATTTATTCTGCCAACAGCTCTCATATTAAAAGGTTGAAATTTTAGAAACCATACAGTCTGGTGTGTGTAGCAGCCAAACAGCATCTTGAGAAACATAAAACTGATTTTAGAAGGTCTAATCTTTTGGCTGTGTCCCTGTAAAGAATCTCTATTCTTGGATTTATACCCATTTCCAGGATGCATTAAAAATATTGAATACATTAATTGCACATACAAGAAGCAGGATCACTTTCTATATGTAATTAAAATAAAAGTTTAAATTAAAAGGTAGCCCATCTTCTAAGATTACTAGTTGGTATTTTAATTAGTTTACAGAGAAGCATCCAGGCATTAAGTTTGTTTGCTTAATCTTTTCTTCATTAAACTCAGAATCTTTGAAAATTTTTTAGCTTTAAGTAGGTTAAAAAAGAGCTATGTAAAAGAGATGCTGGACTTTTAAAAAAATAAATCAGTAAATGGATTAATGTCAGAAATGTAAATCTCTTAAAATTTAAAAGGGAAGATGGGAGCTGTGTTCTCTCAGAATTATAAAATACTTTTAAATTAAAAATATACATCTGTAAAATATAGCTGATAACATTAAGAAATATTATGTAGTATAAATTTTAGTAATAATAAATAATAACTTTATCACAATTCCATTATCTAGTTTTCCTAAAGGAGACTTGATCTTAGATGTTTTCACTTAAGTTTTTATAATCTTTACAATCTTAATAGTATAGTAGTTTCAAATAAGTAATCTGTGTGGTAATATAATTTATGAGAATCTCAAATTTAATCTGAAGGTTAATCAGTTTTGTGCTTTTTGATGCTGAAAGCATCACTTGAGCAGTCCTGTGGGCTTATAACAAATGGTTGGATTTAATAAATGGGGAAACAAAATCTGAATTCATTCAGCCCTTTGCAATTTAAAATGAGATCCATAAAAATCACTGGTGCTTTTCTGTTAACAGTTTGTTGTTCTGTATTTTTAAAGGGTTATTTATTTTTCTTATTTTGCTGTTTTGTATTTTCTAAAATTTCTGTCATTAGTGTGTTACCTTTTATGAGAAAATAAGTTTTTATGAACGCAGAGCGTCTGAAAGTATTTTGAAATATTGTCATGGTTACTATATTGTGTGGTGATCGTATTTTAAAATTTTATACATAATTTTATAAATAATACTTTAAAACACATCAAGTGCAGCAGAGCTTGATGTATCTTAATGTTCCAAGGGTTTTATCGTAAGACCTCAGTTCCCTTGATTTGGTGTACCATTTAGCATTTAATTCGCTCACAAAATACGTAAACAGCTGTAACAGAAAACAATTAGACCGTGTTGATATAGCCGTGCTGAGTTACGGGGTTGACTAACTACCACATAAGTGGACCCCTCCTGCACACCTGTGTGCCATCTTCTGAGTCATGCCTCAGCAAGATACAGATCATAGGCCTTTAGACTTACTTCATCACCATGAATGTTATTTCTGAGAAGCCAGTGAACTACTGTGTTGAGAATAGAATCTCTAGTTGATTTATGGATAAGAATTCCACAAGTATGACAGTAAGACAGTAAGAAAGATGATCCAATGAGGTTTGTGTGAATTTTTTAAGCTAGGTAAGATTAATAATTCAAAACATGTTTTTTAAAAAAAGTATCTGTTGGGACTTCCTTGGTGGTGCACTGGTTAATACTCCACACTTCCACTGCAGGGGGCACGGGTTCGATCCTTGGTCGGGGAACTAAGATCCTGCATGTCAGAAATAAATTTAAAAATTTAAAATAAAAAAAAGTTCCTATACGCCGACTATGGTGGTCACTGTTATTACTATAGATATGAATTATGAAATGATCTGTAACTGTCAAGATGAGGTAGTTTATTAAAGATTCAAGTGTCTAGAGACTTCATATAATATTGCCCATTTTTTGGTATTCTGATATGTAATAAATTGCTTTTACTTTTGGAGAAGTTATATAATTATTTGGGAGGTTTTTTTGTTTGGGTTTTTTGGTTTTTTAAAATACTTATTTATTTATTTTGGCTGCGCCGGGTCTTAGTTGCGGCAGGCGGGATCTTCTTTGCAGCATGTTTAATTGTGGCATGCAGACTCTTAGTTGCGGCATGCGAACTCTTATTTGTGGCATGCATGTGGGATCTAGTTCCCCGAGCAGGGATTGAACCCAGGCCCCCTACATTGGGAGCATGGAGTCTTACCCACTGGACCACCAGGGAAGTCCTGAGAAGTTATATAATTATTTCAATAGTACAGTGTGTTCACTTAAAATTTAGTTATTTTTTATTTTTATTTTTTTGCGGTACGCGGGCCTCTCACTGTTGTGGCCTCTCCCGTTGCGGAGCACAGGCTCCGGATGCGTAGGCTCAGCGGCCATGGCTCATGGGCCCAGCTGCTCTGCGGCACATGGGACCTTCCCGGACCGGGCACGAACCTGTGTCCACTGCATTGGCAGGCAGAGTCTCAACCACTGCACCACCAGGGAAGCCCAAAATTTAATTATTATAACAATTCATTTTTTCAATGTTTTTCTTGATAGAAATACAAATTTAAAATGTGTAACTTAATGGGTTTATAAGATTTACTTTTCTCTAGCTACTTTTTATTTTTTATTTTTTATTTTTTTGCTGTATGCAGGCCTCTCACTGTTGTGGCCTCTCCCGTTGCGGAGCACAGGCTCCGGACACGCAGGCTCAGCGGCCATGGCTCACGGGCCCAGCTGCTCTGCGGCATGTGGGATCTTCCCGGACCGGGGCACGAACCCGTGTCCCCTGCATCGGCAGGCGGACTCTCAACCACTGCGCCACCTGGGAAGCCCTACTTTTTATTTTTGAAATAAAAGCGTGTTTAGTTTATCAATTTTTTTTCAGAGAAAACCAAAATTCATCCCCAGACACAATATAGGCTGTGCTGACACAGGTAACGGGGAGAGCTTCATTCATTCTAACAGTCCCATTATTGAAAAAAAAGGAGGCTTTTAAAATCACATATATTAATCTTGTTTGTAGTAATTCCTTAATAAGATGATGATCTTACTTTTCTGGACTATATTTGAGAACTAAGAATTAATACACCACCAAATGTAAAATAGATAGCTAGTGGGAAGCTGCTGCATAGCACAGGGAGATCAGCTCGGTGCTTTGTGACCACCTAGAGGGGTGGGATAGGGCAGGTGGGAGGGAGATGCAAGAGGGAAGAGATGTGGGGATATATGTTTATGTATAGATGATTCACTTTGTTACACAGCAGAAACTAACACACCATTGTAAAGCAGTTATACTCCAATAAAGATGTTAAAAATAATAAATAAAAACTATTTCCTTTAAAAAAGGAAAAGAAATAATTAATCACAGAATATAAAATTCAAAGAGGCCTTAGTTCATGTCTTCAGTTCAGTCATTTTTGGACTTTTACTTTAAAGCATAATCCTTCTCTCTAGCCCACTCCCACCTCCCCTAATAAAAGACACTGCAAATGCTAGACATGTAAGTGGAAGGTCTGGTTGAAGCTGAGTAGGGAAATTGGGCATTTTGTCAGCTTGGCAGCAGTCACACCCCAGTTCCACAGCACCACTTCAGGCAGCGCTGTGAATCATAGCTTAAAAATCACTACTCCAGTTTCCCTCCTACTGAAGCCATCCACTCAATGATATTTCCAACCTGTGGACATACAGTCTTTGTTTTAATACTTCTGATATTGGGGAACTTAGGACAGTAAAGTAGGGCCATCAATTTTGGGGCAGTTTAGATTGTTAAGAAAATTCTTGTGTATAAGAAGCCAACTTATCTGACTGTGCTTTTCTGCCTCTTTTTAAAATTGTGAGCCTCATAAATATTAAAAGATGGCTATTGTATAATCCTTTCTCCTTAGCTACCCTTTTTCTTTCTTCCAGGTAAAGTATCTCTAGTTATTTCGATCTTCTGGAACCACTATAGTCTTAGTTATTCTTCTGGTTTATCACTGGTTTACTGAGATCTTAAAATGTGGCACTCAAAGCTGAGTAAAGTGCTTCAGATAGGCTAACTTCTGTAATTTGAGATTACAGTGACTTTTTGATTCCCACATCACACTTCTGTTCACATTGAAATTAAGGCCAAGCAAAATCCCAAGGCTTTTAAAAAATTGTTTGTTTTATGTTTTAGATTCTCTAAATTAGTTGCTTGAGATCAAGTTTGAAAGGAATAAATGAAGTATTATTTTCTTCATCATTCACTTTAGAGATAGATGATGTGGCTATAAAAATGAAATTCTACTTCTGGGAAGATAAATTGAACATACTTTCCCCTATTTCTCCCACTTACTATAACCCAAAACCCTGGACCTATAAAACACAAGACTCTGAAAGGTAGCGAGAAGAAGTCTAGGGACTTCAGGACCTTAAGGATGGCATGGTGGTGGGTTTCTTGGATTTTCTGGTTGCTTTACATCCGACACTGAGTACTGGATAAGCCAGTAGCTTGCAGACATCAACAAGCGCATGTACGCACACACAAACACACAGTCTGACAAGGACCTGCTCTTTCTAGCTAAAGGACCAAGAATAGAACAGCCTGGCAAGACAGAACACTTTTAGACAGTATCTGCTCTAGTTTAGTCAAATACCACAGAAAAAGTGTGGCACTACCCCTAGCCAGGCCTGAAGAGGCTGAATGGAGAACCTAGAAGTCCACCCTCATGAGACTGTAACAGGGTAGTACCTCAACACCACCACAGTATGGTATCACAAAAGACCAAGCAGAGAGCTGGCACTTCTTCCCTTTTCGGTGGTTGTGGGCCTTCTCTTCTCACCTACCCCCACAGTGTGTCAGTGGAGAGCCTGGACTTTCATCCTCACCCAGCAGTAATGAGGTTGTGTCAGAAGAGGTGTATTGGAGAGTTATATCTTTGACCATCACCCAGCAGGTGACAGGGCTACCCTCAGTACATCGTCAGTCAGCCTGTACTCCCACCTCCACCCATCGGTAATGAGGACCCCTCCTTCAAGTG